AATTTGAATTAAAGCCTGTAATATTCGTTCATAAGGCTGAAAACATTGAAAATCGATCAAAAAAAGACAAAAAAAATCGAAATCTCGTGAAGAACACTGTTCAGCCCATTTTCTTCCGGGTGACTCGCGATTCTACTATTGGGACTTGGACAGAATCGTGAGTCTACTATTGGGAATCGGCCGGTTCTCTCTGGACACAGGCGATTCCCGTTTTTGGTGTCGATTCGACGCGTTTTATAACGATTCCCGAGTCGAACTGGGCTAGTCCGGCTCGACACGGCGATTTTTTAAACATTGGTTTGAAGGCGTTTTGGGGAATAAATTTATTTATGCCCACAAGCAGTGGTCCGCATGTACGCGCGCTGTTTGGTTTGGTGGATTCCTACATTCCAGCCCGCATAAAACATTAAGCAACCAAATTGGAAAACAATGATAACAGCTTATTCTACGAAAGTTCAGCTCGAAGTTTTTACCTTAAAAGTTGTCTTGTCTTGGACCTCATTAGATAGCCATAATGCTCAGATAATCATCGAGCCAAATAATTATCAAGCCAGGTCAAAACCCTCTTTCAGTGTAATTCAAGATTGTAAATAAAAGTTTCAAGCCCTCTATTTGGTGGTGGATTTTAGTGAATAAAGAAGGATTTGATATATTTAAAGTGGATGTGATGGCTAATCTGTAAAATTTATTTTATCTTGGTTCTTGCAGATCGAGACCAAGAAGTATCTGGATTGCTCCGTGTGCAGGTAGCTGCAAGCTTAATTTTGATGGAAGGTCCTTGAGAAACCCGGGATTAACAGGAATAGGAGGTATTTTACGAGATTATTTTGGTAATGTTATTTTCTTTTATGCTGGCCCAATTGGTTTTGCAACAGCCAACTTTACAGAATTGAGGGCTTTGTTATGCGGTTTGAATATTTTCATTTGAAGGCATATGGGAAAATGTTGCACGATAGAAGGTGATTCCTTCAACGTTATTAGATGGGGTAAGAAGAAACAGAAAGTCCCTTGGGAACTTCGACCTTTATGATTGCAGGTAATAGATTTGGCTGCTTATGAAATTGTGTCATTCGCTTATGTTTATAGTGAGGCTAATGATGTAGCCTTGGGAACTTCGAGTAATAGATTTGGCTGCTTATGAAATTGTGTCATTCGCTTATGTTTATAGAGAGGCTAATGATGTAGCCAAGTTTTTTGCTAAGGGGGAATTTTTGTTTATGCTTTTTTAGTTTATGATGATCTAATTTCCTTTTCGTAATTGAATAGAAGTCATGATATTAGTCCAAAAAAAAAAAAAAAAGTTTCAAAATACACCTAACGTATTTAACATTTGACCTAGTTTGTATTATTCCAAATGATCATGTGTAATTAAATAAAATTATGAATTAAGTATTAAATAATTCATCTTTTAGGTGCATTTTCATATATTTCTCACAAAAATTTAGGAAATTATAAAAAATATCCATCTTTTGGATAGTTCAAAGAATACCATATATCTTCAAATTTACATGCATGCCCAATATTTCATGCTTCATTATTTCCCAAAATGACCCCAGCAAACTTATTAGTTCTATGTATTGCTTCATATATCTAATAGGTACGTGAAGCCCTAAGCATAACTTTTTGGATTTCCACTAAGCACCCAAGTGGATGTTTGGGACCATCACAGACCTACTAAGTTTTTATTGATCTAATATGTCCGTAAAAGCCTAAGCACCCACTTCGGGTTCGGAAGCGCCCAAATGGGTGCTTGGCCTTGCATGCTTCTTGGATTTCCAGGCGCTTGGCCTTACATGCTTCTTGGATTTCCAGGCGCTTGGCCTTGCATGCTTCTTGGATTTCCAAAAAGCACCCAAGTGGGTGTTTGACGCTTCACTAACCTACCGTAAAGACCCATCACGACCTAAATAGATCCGTGACACTAAACTTATTATGTTCTTGAAGCCTCAAGCATACTGAGGATATATTACCTCAAACTTTACAGACCTAATAGGTCCATAAGCAACCTTGGCGGACCTATTAACTCTATTAAAGGCATTTTAAGCCTTACATTTTTTTTTGAAAAAATAGATACAAGCCTTGATTTTTTTAAAAGAAATATAGTATCTTCTGAATCATCAATATAGAAAATTTCAATAATTTCCCTAAAAGTTTGCATGTAGTATAATGTGCCTATTTATCTCTTGACACGGGGACCGATCTGAACATCCTCAATTGGCTTATGTCAGGAACGAACTCAAAGGGTTGCCTCACAATAAGGGCCTGCTGGATTGGTGGAATTTTTTTGGAGCAAAACTCCCAAGTTCGGCCAAATCAAACTTCCATATTTGTGAGCCCATGTGGAAGCGTGGCCTTCCATGCCCATCGCAAAAAGGCCTGGTTTGTGGAAGACGATGCATGGAAGCCACACCTTCCACTTTTTGTGGAAGTGGGTGCCGTGGCAGCCCCCTCTTACTTGTTTTTCAAACATGCCCTAATCAATTCTATTTAATTCCCTTAAAATTGATATCAGACTTATAAATTGAAGATACGACACTTCAACATCAACATGAAGGGTGTGTTTGGCACATGGAGTTTTGGGAGTGAAAGGGACTCTCCCACTAATTATAGAAGACTGCTCTTCCATTTTACAGCTTCCACACATTAATATCAAACATGGAAGTGGGACATTTATCTCCCACTTCCAGAAACTTCCACTTATCAAACACACCCAAAGTTTGAGTCTACAAGTGCACAAAGGTGTCTAGTATGTCGACTTATCAAAAGCAATATCTCGAATGTCGGCTTATTAAAAAAGCGATGAGGGAAAGATACACCTATACAATATTTCTTTTTAATAATTATTATATCATGGACTGGATTGGAATGTTTTGCAAGAAATAATGAGTTGTGGATTTTGGGCAAAAAAATGGAGAAAGTTCATAAAAAGAAGCCTTCCTATGATTCTTCAAAAGAAAAGGTGGAAGCCAAGGGTTTATGGTTGGCAGGAAGGACTTATCATCTCTCACATGCAATATGTAGACAATACATTAATTTTTATGATACATAGGGCAAACAGTTGTTGTCTTGAGAAGATTTTTGAGATGTTGAGAAGCAATATTGGGGTTAAAGGTAAATTTGACTAAAACCAGTTTTGGTAGAAATATCTTGTTCACATAGTCAGAAAGAAAGATTGGCATGCATGAGGTGGGAAAGAAAATAGAGCGAGATGCAAGGAAGAATAAATACCAACTTGTTAGCTAAGATAAAGTAAAGCGATAGAGGTCTTGGCGTTACAAGATTGAAGCACATGAATAAAGCTCTGGTAACTAAGTGGTCGTGGGAAAGTTGTCAAGGTTGTGGAAGGAAGTTTCAATGGCAAAGTGTGGTATAGATAAAAGATTTGTTGTTGATTGATGATGGGAAGCAGGGAAGATATGTCTTGTACATTTGAAAACGGACTGGACAATGCAATGGGTTGTTCGTAAGGAACTCTAGATGGATGATTGACAAAGGAGATAAGATGTTCCTGAACTATAAACAGATGGGTGGGGGAGATGGTTTCGAGTCGGGTTTCGAGACCAACTGGAATATTTGTTGCAGATATGATAGTGTCAGATGTAATCGACTAGTTTGGCTCTTGTTATAAAAACATTAGGAAACTTACCTTTCAACGGACATTGACGATGGATGAGGTCTCTTGGGAATTTGAGACAAGATGATTTGATCTCGGTTATATTGTTGTACATGCTATTGTTTAATGACAAGCTATGGAACTGGTCCCGGCTTTCTTTTGGGTATTGAGTTTGGAAAAATTATTAATCGTAGATTAGATAAGAGAGAGAGGGCGAGTAATGATCAGTATGTGTATGATGCGTAAGTACAATGCGGAGGATGGGATGGGGATCTTTTCTTAGATGATCTTTTTGCTCATTAGATTTGGAATTGGGCTTTCAACAAGATGGGCGTGCGTTTGTATTAGGGAATTTGCCTGAGAGACGATGTCACATTTTAAATCGTCTCATCTGAAATTTTCCATTTCTTCCGAAGATTGGAAAATTATTTAGACGTCTTCAGAACAGCTATTTTGTGAGAGATGTGGATGATAGAAAGAAGCAGAACAGTTTCTGAAAGACATCTGTTAGACGATGAATTGATCAAAATAGGATTTTGAAAACCTTTTTCAACTAGATTGCAGTTAACAAAGATTGAAGCTTATCTAGATATGAATATTAGTAATGTGGATGCAGACTGTCACAAAATACAGCTGAGATGGGTATCTCCCCCTCAGGCACGTTAAATCTTAACTCTGATGGAAGCTCGATGAATAACCTCGGTCCAGCTGGAGTGGGAGGAGACCATAAGGGTAGCCGTGCAACCAATTTAGAGGCAGAAATGCAGCCGTTATTACAAGACGTAGAGCTCTTTATAAAGTTGACTGACAATTTAATGGTGGAGGTCGACTCACAAAATGCCACTAGATGTCGTTCAAAACAATCGCTACCTAAGGAAGTTAAGATCGGATCCGTGGTTGTTGTCCAAAAAAAAAAGTTGTAATAAAAAAAAAAAATGAAGTTAAAAGATTGGTTTCGATACAAATTGTTGATCTATGTATTGAACATTTCCTTTTCCCATAATTAACGAGAAGCAATTTGAGAAGAGGACCAACTAGAGAAGCAGGGGACCTCTCTCTCTCTCAAATATTGTGGTAAATCATGGATAATTGTAATATTTCTGTTTTCAGTCCCTTTTTTCGCCATTACTAATGCCCATAAGCATTATTTTCTAAATCTTCATAGGACCGGCTTGTATGTGCCCCTATCACTTCCATTTATTCACTTATTTTTATTCAATTCAACTATCACAACGATCTCAGACAATGAATAAATTCCAATACACATTCTTTTCCTATAATATCTAAAATAGCCCCTCGTTATGCATTCTAGATCTACAAGGTAACCCTGATATTGAAGATTCACTATTATGCTACTTATCTTCATGATCCTTGAACAGGAACTTCATAACAGCAAAGTATGATCATAGATGAATGAAAGCTTCCACAAAACCTGGAAGATGGGCATAAAAATGTCTTATTTCTATAAAGAATATATGAAATCATCTTCTCATCAATGGAGTGACCAACCAAAAGATTAACCCCCTCATATTTGTACATTAACCCTTGCCACACTTGGAGAAAACACACCAAAACTTCATTCCTGAACATGGAAGAACCTGATGCAAATCGCTGCCAGATTTGGAGGAAACACATGAAATTCTCGTTTGCATTGAACAAATTTCACAAAAACTGCTTCATAATCAATCAAACTTCAGTCAAATCTTCGGTGTAACGCTTCGAAATTCTCATGGGTTTCCACTCAGAATGTTCTTTGGGTTGGCGTAAGGCTATGAATTGAAGTGCCTCACTTTGGACCTGATATAAGTAACATGCCCAAGGATACGATCCTGGTGCACTCCAAATCCTAATTTCTTCAAACACTGTCTCTTCAACAATCTCAGCATGGACACAATATACTGCTTCCTGTGGTGGCTCAAAATACCCTGCTATAGCCACACACCCAATTGATACGTATCCATCTGGGGCTCTAGGCAACCAAATGGAAACTGGTGATACGTAATCATCTATACAATTCCTCCATACCTGTTCAAGGCCATGAAAATCGCCATTATAATGTTGTTTTCACAGTGAGGAATCTTGTTCTTGGGAATTTGAGGTAATATGTTGGGCAGATTTGAAAAGTTCCTGGTATGCCCAAAGAAAATTTCGGGGCTATAAATTTTTGAAATATTTAGAAATTATCTTAAAAGAAAACAAGAAGTTCCCAGAAGTTTTTTTTTTTAAGATGTTAACTGAATTGTATAAATAGAATGGAAACAATTCCAACAAGAGAGATGCTTCCAAAGAGGACAACTGTGATCAAACGAAGTTTGCATCCCCATGGGATACAACAAACAGCAATCCTGGAGAGTACAGGGGGGAAGAAAACTGAGGAGGAGAATCAAGAATTTGCCATCTTGCGAATAGTACAGCAGCTTGAACTTGGAATGTTTCCAGAAGTTTTAAGATTGAAGAAACTTATTTTTTGTTAAATCATATATTATCAAAAGAATTTTCAAACAGCGGAAAACCTCTTTGGCTCATAATATTCCTAAGTTTTTAAATGGAGATATTCGGCATTGTGTGGTCATTGCCATCATCACCATCATGTTCATGAGATGCCATGGCAACAATGATGACTTAAGTCACAACGTCATAACCCTCATCTTCATAATCATGCTATGATCTCATAATAAGTTAATGACAATAAGATCATGATCATCATGACTGCAATCATGATCATAAACCATTATTATAGTCATAATAGTGATGTTGATCACCAACATAAATTTCATCACAACTCTGGGTTTGCATATCTGGAAAATGAAAAAGGACATAAGCAAAGGAAAAAGAAAAAGCCATTGTCAGTGATCATTTGTCACACACAAAATAAGTTTGACCTTACAATCAATCATTGGCCATTAACTCACCAAATCATAGCCAATGGGTAGAGCAAACCGACCATCGACGTTTTGGAACACGGCTGCAACATTTGGCAGGTGGCAACCAATACGGGCTATATCTCCAACAGAGACATACCTGCAAAACTTATGCTTCAGAAGATCCTAATCCACAAATAGTTATACTTCCATTTCAACCTTAATGGCTCACATGGATTACCATGAAAGGGCCCTTGGATTAAATGGATCAAGTAGTGACAAGAGTAAATCATGATGGGAAGGAGCTCCAGGGTAGTTAATTGAGGGGAAGGAGCTCCCCAGGGTAGTTTTGACAAATAACATGCAACCTCTTCAAAATAGGTAAACTAAAATTTATGATTGATAAAATATGGAAGTAACAAAGAAAATCCCACAGATCCTTTGCCAAATCTATAGAATTAAAAAATTAAAATTTCCAACAATGGCTTTTTATTTATTGTTTCTCAAAGTTGATTTTGCATGTTTTTATCCCCGTGAACTTTCCTAGAAATGAAGTTCCCTGCCTTCTCTCGAGTAGATCTTGTTTACTCCCAAATTCATAATCTGCCACCTTCCTTTCATATGTTCATTTTCAGACCTGTAATATATCTGGGGGCTTCGCATACACAATTCATGTCAAGACTGATCCATGAACCTCGGCTAAAAGCTTAACCAAGGCTGAGGTAATGTACGTTGTAGCTTGACTAACATATTTATTGATGCAATATAGTCTTCAGATACAATACAGACTCGTCTGTTTTTTCCTGGAACACTATGTTTATGCCATCCAGTGAGATGCTTTTTCTAACCAATCGCACAGGAAACGTGATTATTGTTAATCTCAATTCAACTACAAAAACTAAAAAGGCTCCTAGTAAAATATGTTGTACATTTACATTATAATTACGCTATTCTGTGATAACAGTATTGGGTTTTAGCCTCAAGTATAAGTCATTACCCATCGGGACACATGGGGTTCCAAATGCTGCATATTTCATCATCATGCTTGGCCTGCAAATAAAGAAACTTGTGACGTATTCATGCACTGGCAACTTTAATATACAAGCATCACATAAAGCCTAGTCCAAACCAGAAAAGAACAAAATTTTACAGATATGCACCTGCTGTGGACACAATGTAAACTGGCCCTTCATCTCACGCTCACTGCTCCACACCTTCTGAAAGTTGACAGTGTGCACTCTAAATCTCGTGGCATCAGACCCAGAAGCCACAGAGTGGAATTCCCTAGGCTTCACCAAGGCCTGGGTCTGATAAGATGACACGTCACGATATGCTTCACTACGAGCTACACTTACCTGTCCCTGATTTAAAATAACCTGGAACACAAGCCATGCCATGAGACAAAGGGAGGTAGGGAGGGAGGGGGTGTGTGTATATGTGCACGCGCATGTGTGTGTGAATGAGTGCATGTGAGTGCGTGTGTGCGCATGTGCATCTCTGTGTGCGTGTGTCTGTGTGTGTGTGTGTGTGTGTGTGTGTGTGTGAGAGAGAGAGAGAGAGAGAGAGAGAGAGAGAGAGAGAGAGAAGAAGACCGAACGACGAAGAGACTCTACGTACCTTACTAACTTAGTCGTCGTTACGTTACGGTCGTCGTCGTGGTACTCGTTCTTACTACTACTCCGTCCG